GAACTTCCGGACGAGTTTCTTGTCGAGAGCGGTCGGACTCTTCGGGCCTTTCGCTCTGTACTCGTCCTCCGTGCCCTCGTAGTGAGCCAGCATCACCTCCGTAGCATGTTCCTCGATCACGCTAAAGGCATAATCGATGTCATCTTCGGTCGCATCCTCTTTGGTCACGCAGAAACGCAAGATATACTTGCCCATCACACGAGCTGGTATCATGTGCAATCGACCGGAAGCGTTAATATTAGCCAGCAACTCCTGATTCATCTCCTCGCTCTCCTTCAATCGGAAACACACCAGACCGACTCGCACATCGTTCAAGATTTCGAAGCGCTTGTCTTTCTTCATGTGCGTCTCAAATCTCTTGGCTAGCCTTATGTGATTCCTAATATACTTCTGCAAGCCGCTGATGCCGTACGATCTCATGACGAACCAGAGCTTCAACGCTCGAAATCGTCTGCTGAGCGGGATACCCCAGTGACGGTAGTCGATCGACTCGCCCGAGCGAGCGTGTTGAAGGTAAAGCGGATCGACGACTAACGCTGATGTGAGCTTCACTCGATTGCGCACCCACAGACAGGAGCAGTCGAAGTTCACCAGCAACCACTTGTTGGGATTCGTGTTGAAGGAATCGGCATGTTCGATGCCGTCCATGAACGGTCTCATCTCCGGACAGATGAAAGCGTTACCGGCGTAAGCGCCGTCCACGTGTAGCCAGATATTGGGATACAACTTGCACACGGGCCCGATCTCCACGAGATTGTCGAAAGCGCAAGATCCAGTGGTACCTAGAGTGGCGGACACATAGAATGGCACGAGACCGCTCTCCACGTCCTCCTTGATAGCTAATTCGAGCCGTTTGCCACGTAATGCGGCCTTCTCATCCGGCTCGAGCACTCGGAGTTTCACCAGGCTTATCATCGCCGCCTTCTCCACGCACGAGTGCGACTCCGTGGAACAGTAGGCCACCAATCTCGGTAGGAACGCCGAGTCCTCCTTATTGGTTTCCTTCTCCTTCAGCATCTTGATGGCCTGCGTTCGCGCCGCCAGCATCGTCACCAGGATGCACTCGGAGGCTGAACCCTGGATCACACCACCGCCGACTTTTTGTTCCGACAGGAACTCGGTCGGCAGGTTGATCGCCTTGGCGTACCAGTCCAACACGATGGTCTCGAGCTCGGTGCAAGCCGGGCTGGCCGCCCACGAGAAACCGATGCAACCGATCGCGTCCGACAGCAGGTCACCCAGGATTGAAGGGAACGAGTTGCCGGACGGGAAGTAGGCGTGGAATCGTGGATGCTGCCAGTGAGTGATCTGTAAAAAGCATTGTCCTCCAAGTCGAGTAACCTACTTTTATGTTCTGAAATTGATTTATCCATGGGGAGAATGGAATGGAATGGAATGGGACAACAGAATGAACGGCGGAAATGCCGGTGGACAACAGCAACTTTCATTGTCACCGTGATAACATTGCATTGGATTAAGAACGAACTTCGCATGCGCTTATGAAAAAGTCGCGTGTGTCGCGACGCGACGTTCTCAAAGTCGTTATCTCTGTCGGAAACGGAGATCGAAATGTTGTGACGTTGTCATCGTCCTTCAATTGTTCAGCCGACCGATCATGCTCGATTAAAATTATTTTTAAACATTTTCTATCATGTATTGGGCAATCTTAATTTACGAGAACCTTAATTTTCGTCTTAAATTTTGCTTTAAAAAGTTTTCACCTATTACTTCTTAAATTCTTTGGAGTGGAATCTCACAAGTCAGTCTAAAAAGTGAAAATTGAGCCAGTCTTGAAAAAGAGTGGCTTAATTTTCAATCTTTTAGAGGGAGAGAGACTTCTGCACTCTTCAGAGTGAGATTCACTCAAGTTTTGAGAGTATATTAATTCTATTAAATACCGTTGAATATAAAACGAATTCTTTACTAACAATTTTAATAACAGTTTAGAAACTTTAATAAATTTAATTAAATCCTTTTGTTCTTTATAATTGGACATTACTGTTAGATTTCAATTTGAAATAAAAACGTGTATATATATATATATATATATCAAATGCCATAAATAGAAAGCGTTTTATGAGTACCATTAAATTTACTAACTCAGACAACACGCATGTCCGAAAATGAAAACATAAGGCGTCTTATGTCTCGATTTTGAATTTTTTGTTGTCTACTGGAAAAATATTTCTATTGACTGTGAATTCTATTGATTGCTCTTTTACAAAGTTTACATAATACGCGTTGCATCACAAACATTTTACATCACTGACCGACCTTAACTTTTCCTCAAGTTCTCGCAAAGAATGCATATGGAAAAACTTGCTGCATCGACAAAAATCGCAATTGATCTATCGAATGTCACGTTATTAGTTTTGTAAATCTCTGAGAAAAAGAGAGAGAGAGAGAGAGAGAGAGAGAAGAAACGGTTTTTATCTATCTTTTTTTCTCTCTTTCACGTGCACGAACATTATTTATATCGGAAAAGGGGGTTGAAATCAATGGCAAGAGAGAGACAGAGACAGAGAGAGAGAGGGAGAAGGGGGATCGATAATCGCGGCAACCCGTTACAACCGCAAACTCACTCCGGGCATTATTTTGCCATCGACGTCCATCATGATGGCATCCCACGATTCCGGCTTGAAGGGTGCCTCTTTCGGTAACTTAGGTCTCAGGTAACCGGGATCGACGTTCGCCGTCACCCTCTTGCCTTCCAGCGTGCGGATGTAGTCGCATATGTACTCGATCATCTCCTTGCCGCGCACGCGAAATTCATCGATGTTCATGATGCCAGAGTACCCCGGGCTGGAATGCAGTGATTTTCGCGAAGAAGCGTCAGAGCGTGCAAACATCCGCCTGATTAGGCACGAACGCGACGTACCTACACGTCGCACATGCGTTCGTGACTTTCTTTTTTTTAAACGTCCCTATCGGCGCGCCAATACGCCTCTCTTCTCACTGTTATCCTCCTATATTTGCTTTAGAAAAGGATCAAGTCTTCCGCGCTTTTGCGAGGACTCCTCGCGGCGTTATTAATTCTTTCGAGCAAAAGGAAATATGATATCGATAAACGCGTCTAATAATAATCCGCAAAAATATTATGAAAGTAACGTCGTGGGATGCTCGTGTACTGAATTAATTACACACGAGATACCACATGATAAATATTACGAAGTAAGTTTGGACAAGCAATAAAATCACATAAATTCAGCACAAATTTGTATTTGACGAAAACTTAAATTTCATAGCAAATGAGTCATATTTTTTAACTCCTGAACCTAAAATCTGTAATCATAATTTTTTAATCTGTCATATTTTTTATTCCTTTTTTCAGTAATATAAACGAAACTTTTTTTTTTTATTTTTTTTAATAAAGTACAAAATGTAGATTTTGTAATGGAACTTTTAAAGAATCCAAACGGAACAAATGGCGAACGAAGCTTTAGAAGAACTTGAACGAAGCGTGCCGGTACGCTCACATTTCTTTTCTGCTACCACTCGAAAAATCGCTGCTCTTTGACGGAAATCGATAGTTTACGCCAAATCTTCTTACGTACGCGAATGCAGATTTTTAAAACGCGACTTTGAAAGGGGTGCAATTCTGAAACGAACGAGTAGCGAACGGCGACATTGAGGAGTTTCAACGATGTAGCCCATCGGTTCCACTCACGTTTCGTTTCCGCTACCGCTCGAAAAGCTCCACTTTGGCGGAAAATCGGCCCCCTCGGTCGCGCGTACTTCTCGCGTATTCCCGTAACTCGAGCGCCGCGCGATTTTCCCTCGTACGTACCGAACATTTGCCGCGAGCCACGTCAGACGAGAGACTAGTAGTACCTGCCGAAGCGCCGATCAGTTTTATGCGCGCCTCGGCTCCGTACGCCCCTGCTATCACGCAGATAAAATTAAGGTGGAGAGAGAGAGACAGGAAACTGGGGAGAAAGTGTAATGAAATTTATTTTCCTAGTAAATACAGATCGATTACGAGGAAGAGGGAATTCCCCGACCGGTACGGTCCTGCGACGCATCTTTTAAATCATCGTGGTGATTTCTCGATAATATAATCTCGATAATTTGGTCCGGATGAATTTACACAGATCTATTAATGTTCAAATATTAATTATCTTTTCTATACGTTAGAATTATTAGTGATTACATGTTATAAATGTAAAATTTTTTTATTGAATCTTACTCATCTGAAGAATGAAATCTCTTAAATATTGAAAAGACTGGCTCACACACACAATTTTGTCTTTAGAACGAGATATCAAAAAATTTAGTGGGTATCTTATTAATAACTTCTTTTGCAAAATATTTAATTTTTTCATACACAATAATATATTATGAACTTTGCGCATTATTACGCAAGCCGCTTCTTGAACGGATTCTTCTAAATAATTTTAGTATTATACGATAAAAATCGATAATTTTTTTTTCATTCATTTTTTCGCTATTAATGATTTATTATAGTCCTAGCACAAACAAAAGTAGCTTTCTTTGTACATTTAACGTATCAGTTCCGAAATGAACGCAATTTTTTTGTCAATTAAGAACATCGCTATACAAACGATTTTTGACAATAAATAATCGTAGTGCTTCTATTATAAATCTTAAGATCAATTCTTTTCTCGAATGTTTCTTTAATCGACGTTTGCAATATGAAAATTCGGAAGTCAGTGCTGCAGACTAGCATCAATGACGCTGTAGCGGGGTCGCTGTTTGAATAAATGTCCCATACAGTGTGCCATGTTCTGCGCATGGGGGTAAATTCTCCCCCGCTGGTCCCCTGTTCTCATCGTCTCTCCATCGTTATAAATAGACATTTACTCTTCACCTACATTTACAACACACCCCGTGGAAGCGGTGACAGGTCACCGCTCAATCTTCGTAACACATACACACATGCCGATCGTTTTCTCATCGCCACCTTCACGCATGATCTACTCGCAACCACCGTTTTCCGAATTGAAATCCGGTAGAGCTTCGGTGCTCATGAACGCGTGAGAAGTAATTAAAATTCGCTCTGATCGGTGACAATTCTTTTTGCGTATGTTGCTTGTATTATAGTAGCTATTTTAACGAAATTAGCGAATCCAACACTGTCAAGAATGTCGCAGATATCGTTTACTGAATCAATTTCGTGTATAGTACAAATGAAAATTTTTTAATTAGACGTAGTACGCAGGCAAATCAAACAGTTAAATAGTAGAGTGCAGAGAAGATTACATATTGTGCTTCAACTTTTCGAAATATATATATTTACTCAAACAATACAAAGTCTAAAATTGTGACGTAAGATATCTTTAAGAGTTTAAGTCGTCTTTTAGACGCAAAAAACATCTTACGACCCGATTTTAGACACTTAAATAAATTTAATTTTTTTTTCCCCCGAAATCCGTCATTCTGTTATGAGTTCTGGTGACCCTCCAACGAGTTTTAACGATTATCTTTAATAATCAAATTGCTGACAAGGGATCGTCACATAATGACTAAAAAGTTAGACGATGATTTTGTGATAATCCGATAGAGTATCCTTCAATGAGTGACATGTGAAGTTCATTTGCTAATGAACGCGTATTACTGGATTTTTGGACAGAGAAAGTTGGCTGCCAGTGAGGTCCGCAAAGCCCATAGTCAAAGCATCATTGCACTCTCAAACACGCATACGCAGTCAAATGGCATGAGAATGACCACTAACATTGATGATATTGATAAATCGAGGCATACACTTGCTCCTCATCTGGATGGTGGGCACATTGGGATCAGATGGTAGTCTTGATAAGAATTGCTTTTCCAGCCCTGAAAAGGCAACATGATTTGTGCGTGTGGTGAGAGGAGCGTTTCAACGGCAATAAAAGCCGCAGTTTGTAAATATTGAAGTCTTTGTACACGTACGTACACACATCCATGTGCGTGAGAGCTCTTTCTTTTAACTATGTTCCAAAGTACCAAAACTCACAATACAGCAAATAAACGGCCCTTTTCAAATCTGGAAAAGCAATCCTTTTCAGGACTATCATCCCAATGTGCCCACCATCCAGATGAGGAGCAATAAGTGTATGTCTCGATTTATCGGTATCAATGTTAGTGGCCATTTCTCGTGCCATTTGACTGCGTATGCGTGTTTGAAAGTGTAATGGTGCCTTGACTATGAGCTTTGCGGACCTCACTGGCAGCCAACTTTCTCTGTCCAAAAATCCAGTAATACGCGTTACATTAGCAAATGAACTTCACATGTCATTCATTGAAGGATACTCTATCGGATTATCACAAAATCATCGTCTAACTTTTTGGTCATTATGTGACGGTCCCTTGTGAGACCGCAAACAAAAACGTTCTGTCTCCTTGAAATAGGAAAATCCAAATCTGAAACTTCAAAGCTCTAGAACTTTTTAGATATTGGTATCAGCACATCGGTCATTAAGGATAATCGTTAGAACTCTTTGGAGGGCTACCAGAACGCTCAATAGAATGCCGGATTTCCGAAAAAAAATTTTGACCTGTGTGAACTTAGAAAAATTCAAGAATTGAAACTTCAAAGCTCTAGAACTTTTTAGATATTAGTTTCAAATCGGTTATTAAGCATAATCGTTAGAACTATTTGGGGGGCTATCAGAACTCATAACAGAATGGCCGAAATCTGAATAAAATTTTTTTTTCCCAAAAAATCGACGGCACTCTTTCTAAAATTGATAGAAAACTCTAGAACTCTTCGGGGGGCAACCAGAACTCTGCTATTTTTTCAAAATTTTTTTAATGAGGGGCCAGTTTCACAGAGGTCATCTATAGAGAATCAAAATTCAATTGCTAATAAGATTGAAGCATATTAATTCCTATAGAAAGTAGTATATATATATATAAGTAAAATGACAGACTTATTAATTAACGTTTTAAAGCTTCAATTGTTTTACAATAACTTTATTTTTACATCGAGAACATATAATATTAATGTAAAGACCTAAATAATTTTTGCAAGATTTAAATAATATATGTAATTATAATTCGAGATATAATATAAGATTTCTCTTTTCTTATCCATAATTATATTTACAATTTGACACATGAAAATATTAGGCATGTTACATATATAAATATAAAGAATTATTTCTCTCTGTCTCAAATTATATATGTGATCTAAGGTGGGCTTGCATGTATCGAGATTGTCGGCAGTATCAGTTCCCGATGTAAAGTCGTAACTAGTGGATTTCCCTTCTGTCTATTTTCTTGGAGCACTCAACGGGGTTTCGGAGCACGGAGAGTCATCCATTGCGATCCATTGTTATACGCTTGGAGGACTCCTCGGAAAAATTGCACAAAGAAAGAAAAGATCGATGTAATGCGATTACGCGCGGCCGTTGGGCGATCTGCCTCGCGAGGGCGAAGCAGACGGGGACGGATCCGGGCTGCATCCGTTACTGCTACCGCGGCGACTTCCGGTACCGCCGGTCTTCAGGCGTACCATGGTGTCCAAGTGACGGAATCTGTGCGCGTGAAAACCAAGATAAAAATAATGACAAAAAAAACTAGAATAAAGTATTAGATAATGTTTGCAGCAATAACACTGTTGAACAAAATATAATTTTTTTTACGTAAAAATGAAGATAATTTGTCTAGAGATAAAAGAATGCGCGTGTGCGAATTTCTGTACATGTAGTACATGTATGAGTGCACATGTTCACACATAAGTGTTTTTATATGAATTGCAGATGGGAAACGTGGACCCTGCAATCAAATTTTGCAGTATTTAGTGACTGCAAACCACTTTCCAATTTAAAATATTGTATTTTTATGGAGGTGTATGTATATAAGTTTTTTGCATATTTAATTTTTTTATGTATGTCGTAAATAACTTTTCTAAAATGCTCGTCTGCTTGATTTATTATTATAGTAATATTCTTTTTTAAATTCCAATGAAAATCGGAAAGCACGATTTTTATGTTATAACTGTATCTTTTTTTCCATGTAGACTATAATATTTTCTAATGAAATCATTTATCATATTCACTAGCAATATTCTTTAAATTAGAAGGAAAAATTTTTAAATGAAAATGCAAATAATGGATTTTGACAGATACATTGCAACTTATATTTTTAGATAATACTTTTTATATAATACTTTTATATATTAAATTAAAAGATCGTCGGCTATATTTTCATAAATTGAGCCATTAAGATACCTGCACTTACATAAACATGTTTTGCATACTA